GATCGTCACCCTAAGCATGCAAGTTAAAAATCGGGGCAGGAACGTGGAGGAAATATTGAACAGAAACATTGATATAATCATTACACATGATTGCACTGTAATATTAGGTAGTACTGAACCAGTAAAATGTCAGAAACCTAAAACAAAAGAATTGTTTCAGTATGAGATTTGTCCATACCGCTCCAATTACCACGCCTGTCACTGAAAACTAAAGGCCTAACAGTAAATGAGTGTGGAGGAGGGCAGCTGTATATGTGAAAAGCAACGGCAGGTCGACTCACTCGGGCTGTCATGTGTCCATAAATCTGCTGCACTTTCTCTGTCTCATCATCACACTGGAACTCAAACAGACACCTTTTCATTATCAGAGGATGACTAAACTTGCTTGCACTCCTTTTCCATTAAGTTTGATCTCCATCACACCAGAACATGGAAAGGGGACAGGGTTTGGGTCAGCAGCAAAGCCAGAATTAGAATTACTGCACATCAAGAGAAAGAGAGGATGAAGGGGTGTGAAGGAATGCAGCTGTTCAAACAGCTCTTTGATTTAGTGGTCACGGCGCCCAGTGTGACTCACTCTGGCTCAAAAACCATGGAGATCACTCAGACGTTCATCCCTCTGGCCCGGTGGATTTCTGCTCCCTGTTGACCTGTGTGTGTGTGTGTGTGTGTGTGTGTGTGTGTGTGTGTGTGTGTGTGTGTGTGTGTGTGTGTGTGTGTGTGTACTATCTGCAGTACCTGAACTTGATTACTTATACATGGTGTAAAGGTTAATGTTCATGTAATGTACTTATGCAGCTTAGAGCCTCTCGAGGACAAAGATTTTTAAAAAGCAAGAGCACTGGGTTTTTTTTTTCTTTCTTAATGTTTTGTTTCCAAGGAGCCAGACTTTCTTGTAATTTTAAAGTGGTCTTGTTCTCCAGGCTTTCTGAAGGTCATTCAAAGCTTTTCTTTGGGCATTGGCTACTTTTTCACTCATTTACAGTCCAGACCTTTTAACTGACCTTAAATTGCATCTTTGGGCACTTTGTTTTGTTACAAAAACACATCATCCCAAAGATTACACAGTTTAAATAGGTATAACATTGTATTTTTACATCAACAATGTGAGTCCCAAAGAGCTATTAGCCAAAAACTTAGCATATCTCAGCACATCTCTGATCTGTATGTGCAATTAAGAAATTTGAGGAAAGTGGAGGGCAAAGAAAAAGTAGCAGGCATTAAAAACTGTCTACAACAGATGAACAGTATCCAAAGTCACATTCTTAAGAAACAGGAAAAAATCCAGCTGGACCTTCAGTTGATCATTGAGCTTTTTAATCTCAGTTCCAGTCTTGTGGAAGGAAAACAGGGAGAAAAGACTGAGGTTGCTAAATTACACAAGAACTGGACGGGAGTCATGAATTCAAATTTGACGTTTTTGGTTAAAATTGTCATCAGCATCAGGCTCTGTCATGGTTTGGAACAGCATTTCAGGCCATTGCATTTTGATCGACCAGGAAAGCATCTGATTGGCTTCATTTCTCACACTGACAGTGATCCCAAACACATTACCAATGCAATAAAAGCATACTCGGACAGAAAACACACACACAATGGAACACAATCAGTCATAGATTGGCCTCCCCAAAGCCCAGACCTCAAGATTACTGAAGCAGTGTGGGATCATCTTCACAGAGGTCAAAACAAAAAGCAGCCAAAGAAGAGCTTTGAATGTCCTTTAAGAAGTCCAGAGAACTACACCTGGAGACTACTTGAAGAAACAAAAAGAAAGCTGCCTAAGAGACTTTAGGCTGTGTTGAAGAATAAAGGCGCTCATACCAAAAATTGACTTACAAGCTCGTTAGAATTGTACAAGCTCTGTGTTGCCTTATATACTGTATTTCAATGTACCTTGAAATACCTACACATGCTTTAAATTTTCAAAACAAAATAAAGAAAGAAATGGGGCCTGGCTCAAGACTTTTTGCAGTCCTGTGCGAGTCCCACTTAAAACATTTCAAACATTTTTCTGCATGTTAACCACTCATGTTTATGATGTGACATGCTGTTTCTGTGCTGACGATAGAAAAATTAATGAATTATAGAATCAAAGGTCCCATATATGTAGGAATACTCCACATCTCCTATTAGCATTTATTACTATGAATAAATAAATAGAGAAATGGGCATCAGTAGTAAAAGCCACGTGCTACTACTTGGAAAATAAGATTTTTCAAAGCATGTGGTTAACCAAGAACATCATATGGTACATACTAGTTTTATGACAATGAGATGCAAGTCAAAATCAAAATATAAATCATGCAATAAAATTGAAGAGGTTAATGAGCAATCTGTATACAGGACACGAGGCCAATACATAAAAAGGCTGGAGTTTCATGTAGAGAAGAAGTGTTCTGTTTGTTTACTGAACTCTGTAACCTATCCCTCAACCAAAGGCATTTTAACAAGCCTGTGATAAGGCCAATAATATGACAGAAAAAAATAAATCTTCGTAGCAAATGAAAGCCTCGTGTCTCCAAAAAGCATCGCCTGCTTGGACCTTTTTTATAAACCGCAGCCTTTTGCGCACAGCAGCTGTCTGTCAAACTGATCCCTTCAAACTCTGCTCAGTTCTCCTTTCTCGCAGGGGTCAACACGATATAAAGAGCCACTCTGCCTTCCTTTCACTCTCTGACTGTGTCAACAGGCTGAGCATGAGGTTTCAGTTACACCGGTGCACTTCTCACCTATGTTTCACTGAAGTCATGCCAGAAATGATAATGGAAAATTGGAGGGCTTGCCTGTGTGTTAGCTGACGGTGATGGTGTATGTGCCCATTGGTTTTTGTGTGCATGTCAAAATCTCAGGTCAGGTACCCACCAGGCTTCAATCCAAAAGTGCTACCACCTGATCCGTGTGTGCCTGTGAGTGTGTGTGTGTGTGTGTGTGTGTGCGTGTTATCGTTCGTGCATCAGTGAGAGCCTTGTGTTATCAGGCCTCTGCACCCCCCCAGCAGCCTGATTGAAATGTAAATTGAAAGTGTCATAAAGCCTATATTGTCAGCCAAATGCTAAGTTATGAAGAAATAGTAACAGGCTCTTTCATTAAGGAAATGACAGCTCGTATTTGCTCTGATTTTCCTTTCAATGGAATGTTTCCGTAATGACTTCAATACTGAGAAACGGAGAGAGGAAAAAGGAGGGGAGAAAAAACATCTGGCATCAATGACAACATTTTCTTTGGATATTAAAAAATGCTGTTTCTTTGACAGCATGTTAAGAGCAACAATGTTTTTTAAAATAGGTGTACCTTACTGTACAGATCACACTTCCAATGGCCCCACAGCCTTTAAGCGTTCAAGCTGTTCAACATTTTTAGAAAAATAAATTAAAGAGAGAGAATCACCTCATCCATGCCAACAACTTATAAAGTTTAACTGTAAAATTACAGTCGCCTCATTTTATGTATGTGAAACATTGTTTTTCTTTCTTTTTTAAAATTAATTCATCTCTGAGTTTATTATGTTTCAGAGAAGGTCTGACCATGATGGCATTATAATGAAGCAGACACTATGTATTTAGGTTTCAAAAGACAGAAGAAGAATTTATGGCATTTGTCTAATCCACACATTTTTTTTCAGTGCTTCTGGTTAGTCTCTATTCATGTTGTTCATGACTGGGTGTTTGTCTGTGACTTTCACTGGCCTCAGTTTTTCCTCTCCAATTCTCTGTAGTTGAATTATACAAAATCAAGTTTAGCAAACTGCAATACAACAATCAAAATGTGAAGTGTCCATACTTTCCAGCTCATATAAACTCAAACACTGATATATTGATAACACTGATATATTGATTTTTAACATTTTCTCACGAGAAATTGTGATATGATATACAACAGATGAAGTTTCGTTAACAATTTTGTTAGTAACTTGTAGGTCAGTTCAGTCAGCCCAACAGGGAGTAAGTATGACATGGAGGTAAACCTACACTTTCTTTCCTGGTAAACATGGGAGAAGCTTGCCTTCAGGGCTTTAGCAGCAAGACTTTCTAACATGTGAGTAATGCTGTCAAAGGGTCTCGCCTGACCCAACCCATAATCATTTCCTATACCTAACCCAGCAGTTTTCTATGACCATGCAAACCAAAACACAGTGAGAAACCATAAAAGAGGAAGACATTAAGATAATAACGCAACTGTAAGTCCAAAAGAAATATTTAGTATCCTTATTTTCAAATGGTGCACACATTCAAACTGACTGGGAGACAGGCCTGTGTCTGATCCATTTGTTCACCATGGCCTCCTACCTACCTTTGTGGACTGCAACGATGACCTCTCCTCCTTTCAATCATACTGTCAGTGTGAGAAGTGAGTAACCAGAGAAGTGTATTTATATTGACTCTGGACATCTGCCTTGACGTGTCACGAGGAAGAACCCGGAGGCTGAGGTTAGAGTGAGAAAAAGAAGATCGAAGAATGGGACACTGATACAGGGAAGTTCTGGTGTCTGCAGCCTCAAGGGGCATCTGTTGCTTTGTTTCCCAGGCTGGGTTGAGTATGAGTGAGCAAATTCAGTTTATAAGACAAGCAGACATGCAGAATCAAAACTCAACACTACCCCTTCTGGCATTAGTGACTTTGAAGAACAAAGATGGGGTGATAGACGAGGCAAAGTCCAATAATAGGGAAAGCACACTAATGCCACACTTGCATTTTGCAGGTAAGAGTGATTCTGCATTAGGGACAAAAGAATAACAAACATCCTCGATTTAAAAGCCATTTTAACAGACAATCATCAGAATTTGTCTCATGATCAAATGAAAGAAGCTTTGTTGTAAAGAGATTAATAAGGCAATGACATTTACGGCCTCTTACATATAGAATCTTTTAGTTTACCCTTAACTGATCATTGCCTCATAAGAGAAATACACATTTTAACTTATTTAATAAATGAGATTAATTTTAACAGCAAGTAATGGAAATGTGTGGTTCTAGGTGATAACAAAAGAAAGCCCAGCAGCCAGTTTTATACAAGCTTTATTTACAATGTCATTTTTAGCAGTGTAGGAAGCACGTTTTCATCAGTAAGCCCTCATTGGACAGGTGCTATAATCCAAAGTAGACAGGATTTCTACTTTCCTCATTCTTAAAATGTCTACAAGCTTCCCAAGTCACATACTTATGTACATAGTGTGTTTGTATACAAGCTATATAAAACTTGGCAAATGGAAGGTTATTTGCTACTTCAATACGAATTTTGTTCATTTTCACAGAGTAAAAAACAAAAACAAAACAAAAACCTACAGCAAACACTGCACGTTATGATTCCGACTTGTTAACAGCTCCCTGTTCATATTTTCTTTCTAATACAGTTTGACTGGTCTCCATTGTAGGTGCGCAACCAGCTAACAACAGAGAATACTGGGTAGTAATTTCATCTTAAGCACGTTTTAAAAGAAAAATGCACCACATTAGGACAGAGTTTTGTAGGATTACTGCTTTTCTCAATTAGAGTTCGGTTAATTAGAAAACAATGAGTAATAACCTCAGCATTAGGTAACTTTACTTTGTACTGACAAAGAAGTGGCATTGACGAGGTCTGAAAGTAGTCCAAACTAGCAGATTTGATGTATTATTAAAGAACAAACAGATGCAAATAAGAGCAACAAAACACAGGAGCTGATTTCACTGGGATAAAAGGGGTTAAGACATTGTGCTTTTTCTTAAGGGAGATTAAAAAAAACGTTTTCCTCAAATCCCTGATATAAATCTCAACAGGTCAACCCCAATGTGGATGTGTTTCATTATATACAGATTTCTTACCAGCGTATGGGGATGGACGGTTAAGAGTTCTGTGGAATAACATTTACAGCTGAAACTGCAGAGGTCACAGGCTAATGGTTTCAAAAACTCTGGGACAAGACACCGCCGTACTTTGCTGCTGACTTCATACTTGAAAATATTCATCCACTACTCAGTTTTGGAAAACAAACATGACTTGCAGAGATAACATTTTAATGCAGTTAAACATCCATCCTCAAGAGCTAATGAACCTCTTTTCCCACTAAAAAGAAATAAAAAAAACAAAACAAAAACCCACCAGTCTTTGCAGGCATTAAAAAACATGACCATTTGTAGGGCTGAAGTAAATTATTAAATTAAAAATAAAGAGTGATTTGTTTGTTAAAGCAAAAGAAAAAAGCTTTTTAAATAAAACGATTTCTAAGAAAATTCTCCTACTTAAGAAACGGGAGGTACATGTTCACAAACTTTATCTTCCTTTTGTTGCATAAGACAAGTATTTAAATGATGGATAAATTACATCCACTGTAACAATATGAGTGGTGCTATAATACTACTAAAAGTTTAACACTGCTGTACAAGCAGCAAAAGAATAAGCTGTTAAGATTTAAAAAAAAAATGCACACCATGAACCATTTAAGCTTATGTAACATATCAAATAGAAGTAAAATAGATTAAAAGCAGAGAAAAGCCCACATTAAGCCCAACACAATAATTTATGAAGTTAAAATCCATATTTAACATTTTTCCCCAAATAACAAAATAAATGTGTGTGTAAGATCTATTGTTACAGAAAGAAAAGGACCAAATTAATGTTTTCATATAACAAATAAAAAAAGGCACTAAATCAGATGACGCAACCAACGCTCTTATTTAAATTAATGTATGCAGTCATACTTTTGACATACATTTAACCTTGAGTCACGCTTTTCAATAGTTTCATAATCTTTAGGGAAAATAATGACATTTATTTAAAGAAGCTACATAAAATGTACAACATTACTCTCAGTAACATCAATGTTTCTCCATTACTAATACTGTAACATGTTTAAGTAGTAAGCGTCCAAATACAGGATGCCTCTCAACTGTCTGATGTGAAGGGCTTTTTTTTTTATTTAAAAAAAAAAAAAGAAAAAGAAAAAAAATTATATATATATATAAATTTATTTATATTTATATATATATTTATTTTGAAGGAGAGTCTATGGTCAGCAGGACCACTGGAGACCATTTCCCTTTTAGTATGATGAACCAACTTTACTTTAAGTGAATAGACGGCACATCAGCCTGCATGAGCTAATGCACGGTTTCATGTCTGTACTACCAAGACTTTTCTAATCCAAGGTAAAATACACCAAGATATGCTAGGGCACAGGTTATTTGCTTCTAAAAAATTATTAATCAATTAGGAATCAACTGAAATTTGGCTACTATCAGAAACACTATGTAGATGTGTGTTTAACAAAACAAAACAACAAAAAACTGCAAGCAGGCTTAATGGGGGCTTTTACTGCTTTTCAAAACACATCTGTAACAATGTCTTTCATTTAAACACTTTATATTTATATCTCTGCAAACACTTTTCGGGCAGCATTGTTGCCTTTAGTCCAAAACTGGTTGCATTCAATACTTGAGGTAAAAGCACTTTTAAGATGCAATCTAGCAACATGTTCAGGGCTTTCATAAAAATACTTACTGTAGAAGTTAAAAACAGAATGGAGTCCTATTTTGTTATGCATACTGATTTGCCGGTTATACCTCTCAAATATTACCCCAATCCTCGAGCCACACAAATAAACAGAGTATGCAGGAATATGTCATTGAGGTATCCCTAAGCAGCCAAACAAAATCAAGTTAGACATAAATACTAGAGAACAGGCCTATTTAAACCCAAAACTTGACTGACAGATAACTGGCTTACTCCACTCCTTTTTCCTGGTTGTTTGTAACATAGGTGTAACAGACTTGATGCAGTGTGGAAGCAAACAAGCAGGCATGTTTATGAAGGCTACAAGAGGGGAGGAGGAGAGAATGTAACAAAGAGCATCGGGGTGTGGGGAAAGGAGTCGGAATGGTGGAAAAATTAACAGGGGAAAGGAGAGCGAAGGTTTTCTTTTCCAATCCCGTTCCTCCCCGGGCTTGTCTGGAGGTTATAATGCGTGACACCGCAGAGGGTTGTTAGTGCTCGCGCTGCTGCTAGTGGGCTGGTTATTCGCAGACTTGAGTCAATGCAAAGTCATGCAAACAGGTACGTAGTTCATGCACGCGTGCCACAGCCTAGCCCAGCTGGGGGTCAGTGTAGGCCACATAAAGAACAGGCCAGGCTACACAAGGCTCGGGCAGGTCATTGGTGTGCCAGTCATGCAGGGACATTGCTGTTGAGGGAGGGGAAAAAAAGAAAAAAAAGAAAAGAAGTAATGGTCAGATGGCAGGGCTTTTTAGCCTAAAATCAACAATCTGCCCCTGATCTAACACCAAGCAAAATTATTTCAAGGTTAGTAAGTTATGATTCCTGATATGCGTTAAAACTGGAAAATGACAACGGAACAAACAATCGGTTAAACACATATTGAGAAAAGCATACCCTATTTAAGACTCCCATTTAAAGTTATATACCTGTATGTAGTGCACATTTTAAACACCCTTTAGCAAACCTGGAAAAAAAGTGCTTTTTACTGTGACAGCAATGAGCTGATTATAGAAAGTGATATGGAACAGTCCACTCTGATGTGTGACACTGAACAGGTCTTCATGTCCACTCTGCAGATGATCCAGAAACTAAATCTCTTTCAACAGACAGTCCTCAGGTCTAAAACTCTCCAACCATCTCACCGCTAAACGTTCTGTGAATACATTATTTTGTCACGTCATATTAGGGGGAAGGTAAACCTGACAGATTGCCAAGGTACAGACATTTATATCAAACACTATGGCACATAAGGTGTTGTCTGTCAACTCTGTAAATGCTGGTGGCTCCTTGTTCTCTTAGATACTTAAAACTAATTTACACCAGTATGTACACTAGCACAGGAAATCTATCAAGTCTTAAATTGCACCACCTGGAACAATTTCAAAACCTAAAGAAGTCTTTTTTTTTCTTCGGGAAAAAAAGCTACCATTCACAATTATTGCTGCACCATTACCAACAATCATGCAGTCCTATTTGAAATCACTCAATTAAATCAGTTAGAACATTTAGCAAGCAAATCAAAGATTTACACGAGACATTACATAATCCTATGCTTCGATGTATTTGCTGGTCGAGACTGAAATGAAACACTGACACATTAAACTAAAAGTTGCTTTTACCTCCTTAAAGCTACATCATAAAGAGTTACAATAGATGACGCAGGACAGAAAAGCTGTCAAGTCCACTGCAAAAAACAAGCTGAACTTGAAAATGTTACTACAGGTAGAGATGTGCATAAATACTGCATGAACAGGTAGAGCGGTTCCTCTTATCAAAAATTACAGTAACTTGACAAGGACACGCGATTCTTCTGAGCCTTGCAGTCTGGAAAACCTGCATGGCACAAGTTTACTACATAGCACAGGTTCAAGAAGGTCAGTGGTAGAGAGGGAGGAAGAAAGGATGTTTGGTGTGATTGGTCAGAACCTATTAAATATGCTGAAGCCTGATAAAAGGTAGAAGTCTTGCATGATGGGCGTCAAGGTAAAATACGCTTAGGGGGAGGAGGAAAAAAAAAAAAAGGTGCAAGATTTGGGGGCAACTTTTCTTGGCATCTCTACCTCATGGATCTGATCAAGAAGGAAAAAAAAAGAAAATCAATCGGCAGGAAATGCAGGAAAACATTTACTTCCATTAGAAATGAATGAAAACAGAACGCCTCAAAATAGGCACATCGTTCGGGGGACTTGTAAAATAGCTGGCTGCAGCATTTCGTGCCCTACTGCCATCTACCTGGCGGTAGCTGACTGGGCGTGACCGGGATACTGGCGCCGGGTGCTGGTGGCTTGTCTCTGCCGGGCCAGGAAAGACTGACCAGAACCAGTGTTGGCGAGTCGATCTTCAGCAGCCTTCTTCTGCAGAGACATACCCTGGTAAAAGAAACAGAGGAGGAACGCTTAAGGCCCCATTTGAAAGTCACTACAAATCAGCAACACTCCAAGTCAAAGACAGCCCTCAAGAAGGAGCGCAGACTGTTAACACACATATTAAGACAGTCATTAGATTATCTGCTAGTTAGTCCACCAAGCCTGAGGTATAGGAAATTAAATTAGCTGACATTCAACATTAGTGCTGATTTAGCAGCTCATGAACAATAATACCAGCAACTGATGAGATATATAATGAGCAAACAGCCATTGACGTTATTGAATAGTCTGTGCTGCCATCTAGTGGTGATTTTCTTGGGCAAACAAAAAGGGATGTTTACCCTCTGTGGTAGAGAAATGTATTATATCTGTTATCTACAGCAGAAAACATATGCAACATTTAAAAAAAGCTCCAATTATAACATTTTTGTTTTTCAATGCTTTAGTAGATGCTTTGTTCAGCTATGAATTACTTCCTGACAGTAGCTATTTCTGTGTATTGCTATTATTACTTGCTTGGCCACAAATCTCAGCTGTATGTGCCACAGTGCATTTTAAAAAGAAGACCAATCGCCTGTATCACCAGGATTTGCTTCAGACTGTATAGGTGCTCCTTACCATATTGTACCAGGCTGACACAATCAGTTTCTCCTCGTGATCTCTTTGGCTCTTTGTCTTGTCCATTTCTTTCTGTTTGGAGGAAACATGAAGGCAAAATCAACCTTGGAGTGGAGGATGTTTCTAAAACAAATATTGGCACGTGAGTCTATTACTTATTTTGCCAGGCCCTTTTTTCAGGCACCCTAATTCCCAACTAGATAATTGATTACCTCCAGTGAATGCAACATCCTCTCCTTCTCCTGCAGCTGGTTTTTCAGGGCTTGGACTTCAGGACCTGAACCTTGGTTCTGTTTGGGGTCCAGTGTTCGGATTACCTGTGAAGGACACATTCAGGTTATGTTTGGGGGTTTTTTTTGTGTCCCATACAGCCCGCCCTACAGAAGACTATTCATTTATGGACCCTTTGCTAGTAAACATTTACTCACACTCTTGGCTTTTTCGAGGTATTTCTTGTATCGCTCCTCCATCTGTTTCATGTCTTCATCTTTTTTCTTCAAGGCCTCTTCCAGCTCCTCCACTCGTTGGACTGAGAGGGGAAACAGCATCTTAGTTTAGATTTCCTTTAAACTGACTCATACATTTTAATGTCAGTGCATGAAGAGTTACCTATACAGCAACATTACACACAAAATGTTTTAAATGTCAGCGTGTTTTGCATATTCAGATATCACCGTAAACTCACTGCTGGTGTTGTATTTCGGCTCCATTTCATCAATGAAGGCATTTTTCTTCAGCAGCTCATTATTCAGCTCTTGTACTTTTTCCCTAAGAAAAAGAATATCGCACCTTATATCAGGTAGCTCACAATATGAAATGCAGAATTAAGCGACATTGGCAAATTAAGTTAAAACACACTCACATGTGCTCCTCATATTTCTTCTTCAAAATAGAAGACTGGAAGAAAAAGAAGAAAACAAACAAAACGGGCGAACGTGTTAGAAATCGTGGTATCAAAATTCAATCATTCCTGTACGTTGAACTGTTTTTGGAAAAGATCATGATCCAAGATGTGGAAAGATGAAGAGACCTTCAGTATAGTCAAAGTGTTGATGATACTGAGAATGTACAATTAAAGCAGGAACCTAATTTCTTTACATTTTGAATCAGCACCAGTCCCCAATTTGACATCAAGGCGACGTGCAGCCAGTATAGACAAAACTCATTTTCAGAGTACTGAGAGATTACATGCTCTGATTGCTACAGGGAAGCTAGAGGAGAAGACAAGGACTTTGGGGTTTCTATCAGGGGAGGGGATTTAAAACTACTCACAAGAACAGATGATATTTGCGACTTGCTACTACTCTAAAGTGTAAATGCTACATTCGGTTACACATTCTTGTCAATATAAATATGTTTTAAAAAGCTATGCAAACATCAGAACTGAAAAGTCTAAAAGCTGCAACTTGCTGAAATCACAAAGATATACTTACTATAGTCTGACAGTGGAGAACAGTTTGAAAATAACAATAACAAAAGAACAAAATGGCAAAAATTAAAAAGAGGTGCCAGATGTGACATAATAATCTGACAGTTTCACATCTTTGATTCTCACATAAATGTTGCATCTGTACTTTCAATGTTATTTGAGGGAAATAGTTTTCCATTCTCTTCTTTCTGTCGCATGATTTTAGACACTGTTCTCGTGATATTGAGTGAAAGGAAAGATGAGGCTGATACTGAGATCTAAGATCTACAGTGACGGACAAGAAATTAAACCAGAAACCCCACAAAAGAAAACAAGTTTTAGATCAGTGTTAATCAGGCAGTAAAGACAAAGTTAAACATGCACGTAAACTCTCTTCCTCACATCAACCTTCCTGGGAGATGCTCCAAATCGCATTTTCTTAAAAATCTGTTGTCCCATACTAGGAACTAGTTTGAAAGAGACAAGGAACAGAGAGGAGGGCCATGAAAACATTTAGCATCAGAGGTGAGGCGGCAGGCAAATGTGTTAATAAGATGGAGAAAAATTAGAGTTGCTGAATTGCTGAGGAGCTTGTATTAATCTCGTTCACTGTCGCAATCAAGCCTCAAACACCTGTCTTTAACATGGCTAGACATCGTCCCAAGAAAGCTAGTGTGTCTAATGCTACAGCAGAAATAATTGTAAATAAATAAATAAATAAATAAAATGACATATGCGCAGAAAGGGGAATGCAAAAGCTGTTAGAAGTTGTTAATGTTTACAGTGCATTGAGGTAAGCACAAGAATTAAAAAGGCTGATGTTGTGAAAAAAATGTTCGTTGCCTTTTTCACTATTGCACATGACTTTCCAGGACCTAAGCCGTCAGTAGAAACAGAGCACTGCACTCTCTGAAGTGTAGTTTGATTGCTTTCTGTGTTTACTGCCACCAGTAAACTGGTGCTGGAATTACACACAGTACAGTACAAGTACATGAGTACAAGCATTTACTTACATCATCTGCTTTTGAACCCTGTTCTTGAAGATTCTTTTGTAGCTCCTCTACCTGACTCTGTTCCTCCATCAAGCGCTGATTTATCAACCTAGATAACAAGTACAACGTTTCACCACAGTGTTGTTATTTTCAACAAATCAGTGACCAAACTGCAAAATAAACTGTTGTAGATCCAATATTAGAAGGAGATTTTTAGCTGATAAGTCATTCACTGAAATACAACAAAGACAAGAACAACTGTGTGGAGAAGTAAAGGCGAGAATCACCCACATTCCAGCACACAAGTGAAAATGTGGCTCAATATTAATATGAACAGACCAAAAGGAAGAACAATATTATTGTTTGCTCTTCTCAGATTCTATATCAGTGAGACACTGGGTTCAGTAATAGGTGATTTCCTGTTAATACCAATAAGCTATATGTCTTTGTGCTCGATGCCAACCTGTTCTCTGTCTCCAGTTCATTTTTTCTCCTGTTGGCATCCTCGAGTAGACTCTGCAACAGAGCGATCTTCTCATTGTCTGATCCCTCCTGAGCCAGTTTCAGCATCTTGTTTTCATGCTGAAGACGAATCACGTGTTCTCTAGAAACACAGAAGCATCAAGAGCGTTAAACTCAAATAACAAGCATTCTTGTTTTATACCACAGTCTCAAAAATGCTTCAGAATATTAGTCTAAATGATGAACTTAAAATTCGCAATATTTTGTTATTTATTTATTTTATCATCTCGTGTTAGTATAGGGCACAACGTGCAGAAAGGGAAACCTCAACCACAACAGGAAGAGGGCTCACTTTGAAATGGTGTACTCCTGTGCACGGAAACATACACACAAGCAAGCTCAGGTCAAGTAGTGAGTGTAAGTGAGATATTCACTTCAGCGTAACTAATCACTGTAGTGAATCACCTTATTACAACACTGTCTGCTTAATGAATTATACCTATGGCCTGCTCCGTTTTAGTGCTCCTGACAGTGTTACAGCAGTGGGTTAAATCTGACAAATTCCACACTTGAGTCAAAAATGTTATCTACACAAATTTGGTTGGATATACCCTGTATTTAATACAGCAGGAGATAAAGCTTGAGGCCAGCCTTGTCTTGGGCTCTAGTGTGACAGACAGCCAAATGAATATAAAGCACCTGAGAGCCTTACATTCAGCTAATCACCAAAACAGCAGGATGGGTAGGAAGCTTTGTGTCAAGCCCTGTTTTTAGGGCATGGCACATGAATCCATTCCAACTGAAGAACTGTTGTTTCCAAACAATTTATTACTGACTACAGGTACTGACTACGACTTTCAGGTGAGGTGCAGTTGGCTGAGGGACTGAATTTTCAGCTGCGAGTGCGACTCACTGTTTTACAGTTCAGATCAAATGAACAGGCAACAGGTTCCTCTTATAAAAGCAGCATGTTGATACTGAAAAGTCACCAAAAGACATCAACTGGAACGTAAAGTCATTAGTCATTCACAAAACAACATGTTTTCATCATTTACCTTTACAGTAAATGAACTGCCTGGATGGGGTTAACCTTCCCTCTCCCTGAAAGTAGCTTTTAGAAGATTTGTATACAAATCCACATTTTTCCTGGGTTCACAAGTACTGAATAAAAATTTAAGCATATTATCCAGCCAACAGAAAATCCAGCTGTCCTGGAAAGCTGCTGGCAGTCTGATGTAACTCACACTCAATTATTACATAACGCTCTACAGGGTTTTTAAGCTAAACCCATCCACCATAAAACAGCAGAGAAAGCCTTGAAGCGGGCTTGAAACTATCTGGTTGTAAAATAAATTACACTAGAGACATACTTTACTATCCAAAATTTAGGAATCAAGCCTTAAAAAGTGAATTTATTTTACCAGAGCATTAGTTATATTCTTTTTGCATAGTTTGCTGTTGTATTTGTTACTCAGTTATTCGTTTTTTGTTCTTTTTTATTTTAAAAACCAACTTCTAGGATGATCTAATATCATTATTCTTCTCTTTCATTTAAAATAATCAAACTGGCGCAAAAACATATGGGTTAAAACATATACACACACACACACACACACACACACACACACACACACACACACATACATACCGCATCTCTGGAGTGGTGATCTCAGCAGCCAGTGAATCAGAACCATCGTTGCTACCCAATGGGAACAAACCTTTAAATGCAGATATTAGTTGTAAATAAGATGAGCAAGAATTCATTAAACTTATAAGAGGCAAAGCTACACCTATTATATTTCAGGACAAAGACATTTCTTCACCTGATGTGAACTGTCCCTCTTGAGCTTGAACACAGTGTAATTCCTCAATAGTTTCCTTTAATGAATCTCTCTCACTTCGCATACGCTATAAAGAGACAAAGAGTCAAACGTGTGAATGAGCGAGACAGACAGAAGGTCAAACAGCAGAAGTGCAGGATCTGGAACCAACATCAGTGTGCTTAGTAGTAAAACATTTCCAGTAAAATACTTTCCAGACAGCTGGGCGCAAGTACCAGTTATCAAGAGCCTTTGGTCAAAATTTCCTCTCATGCTAAGTTACAAGGTTTGGCTTTTCTAGCTGTAACAAATTTGATTTCATCTAAAAAGAGAAACAGGTCTGACAGAACAGTAAAGTGGCATATTTCATAAAAACAAAACAAACAAAAAATTAAAGTAATTCTTCTGTATGTCATCAGTCCTATTTTTAGTCACATTAAATATACGTACATCTTTTTCTTTTTGTAAAGAATCGACTTTCTCTTTGAGGCGTTTATACTCAAACTCCATCTTGTCCGCCTTTTTAGACTCCTCTGACAGTCTGTTCTGAAGTTCAACCACCTGTGAAGAGAGATGACAGTTCAAAAGAAGACCTGATCGCTAAAAAAATGATTACACAAGCATGAAAATTGTAAAACAGAATTGGAGTACAGTACTAAGACTGGGAAAATGTAAAACTTATTTATTTAGGAACAGGTACCTGTCTCTTGTACGTCTCCAACTGGGCTTTGGCAGCATTCGCCTTTCGTAGCTCTTCCTCTAAGCCAACATTAGCCTGCATTAAAGCTGTGGTTTTCTCTTCCATAAGCTTGTTCTGGAAAATACGGACATACATTTTTTTTTAGACTGAAAGTCATGTTTCACAATCTGATTTACACGTTTTCAAGAACTGCAGTGTTAAAAAAAAGTCAAGTAGCACTCATGAGAATAAAAGCTGTATTAAAGTTGCTGTGTGTGTGTGCGCGTGTGTGTGTGCGCGTGTGTGTGCGCGCGTGTGAGTGAGAGATTGTACTTGTCTTCTGAGCAGTCCCATGTCCTCCAGTTTCTTCTTGTAGTGTTCCACGGTGCCCTCCAGTTTTGACACCTTGTCAGATGAGTGCCTGCGATGAAAACAACAAGCAGTTTTATTTTTACCACTGTCATACTGATCCTGCTGATTTCCACACTGGATTAGTTAAAGTTTAGTTTATGGACAGATAACAAGCTGTAAAGCTAAAAGTTTTGTAAGCCATAGTGTTTTCTTGGCTCTTTTATTTTCTGTCTTTAGGCCAATACATCTACTAATGAATGAATGCTAAAATTAAAATGTGTGCTTCACAGCACCTTAGCTAGAATTACTACAAACAACAAATCTCCTATCTTATTAGTTTTTTAGTTTGTTTTAATTTAATAATTTTAATATGTTAAGGGTTCGTTTTGCATCCTCAAAATACCTGAGGACATCAATCTCATCTTTTAGAGACTGGGCCTCATCAGCCAGTGATGTAAGGTCTTCATTCTGGGACTTCACATCCAAAAGTTCTTTTTCCAGCTCCTCACAACGGATCCGGTAATCATCTTTTGCTGCCTCCAACCTAGAGGGAATTAGAAACAAGTGTCATTGAGCCTGCAGATTTTTGGCATTAATCAATTCAACCCTGACTTGTTGAAATTCCTTTCCACGTTGCATGCAAATCGAGACCTGAAGGTTTCTTCCTGTAGCTGCTCCAGTTGCGTCTGCAGCTGAAGATGTCTGCGTCCAGCAGGGCTGTTTATATCCTCTATGGAGTCAGACTGGTTAAGTCTCTCCATTAAGACCTGGTTTTCTGCTAGCAAACTGCTCTTCTCCTCTTGCAGGGCTGCCACCTGGAGAAAGGGAAGTGTTGAAGAAAAGGCCAAAGAATGGGATACACGAAATCATGAGTGAAATGAGAGGAATTGGATAAGAAAAGGTGAAAAATGGGACAGCGTGGAGAAAAGAAAGATTAATGGGAACACAAAAGGTGTGGAAATGATCGATTGAAGGGATTTTAAACACATGAAAAGAAGAGATGCAGAAGGGAAACAAGTTAGAGATGATTTATAACTTTCACAATGTAGGTAAGCTACTTTAATTTGCTTGTTTCCTTTACAGCATCCAGGTCCATTAGTTTAACAAACACACACCAAACACACCTTAATAAGGCAAATCAATTAACTCCAACATGGCAGAGAGGGCTACATGGTTGGTGTTTTCTCAGTGTGATGGGCAAAGCAAAGCAAAAGCTGCTGCTGCATTTTAATGTAAACAGTAAAAATTAGATATATTGATATAATTTGTTGAGAGAAAATACAAACCTTCTTTAAAAAATTAATATAATCAGTCAATAAGGAAGGGATTTTTATTAATTTGCCTGGATCAAGTCTATAAACATGCCTTAAAACACTGGAAAATAATTTAATCCTTCTGGGACTTTAGGAAAATTATCTAGTGAATCTATTTGCTCTTTTTTATTTTATTTAAAAGTGCATTTTAAACTAATATGGTGTGACTCACTCTCTCTTCTAAAAAGCTTAACACTTCCATGTCTAAAATTCCTACGAAATTCCTTGTGAAAATTCCCTTATGGCAACAAAACTGTATCACATCAAAGATGCGAACCGTGCAGCTCAAAACGCAGGAAACAGGGTGGAAATCAGCTGCAATTAATTCCAAAACCAGCACACGGGTTCCTCAAAAGATACCAAGTGCCTTCAGGTACAGGCTTAATAATTTTGCTGACTGCTTGCTGATCAGAGTTATGCAACCAAAAAAATTAAAAATAAAAATCTGAAGACTGCATAATGTTTAAACAGTGATGAACACATTCTTCCAATAAGTGACTCATTTCTGAATTCAAATGTTAACCTATTTCCCTCGCTTTCTACTATTGCTGTGGAAAAGCATGGGACACACCAAGGTAAAAGAAAGTCACATCTGACACAGCCAGACCAAACTGCAGTTGTGCCTGGTGTGCTCCAACAGGACAATGTGTACAGTTGCACAAATGCTTGTGCACAAATGTGTACACATACATGCACACAGAATTTGGAAAAGGGGAACCTGTTGCAAGCAGGCTAAAGAAAATCACACACCATGAACATAAGAAAGAAACAAAGAAAATAAAGTTTGGATTTACCCTCTCTTCTAGCTCATTAAAGTCTAACCTCAGTCTATCACGCTCCTCTTGGGCACGGAGAGCCTTTAAACCAAGGCAAACAGTATTGAAAGAGTAAAGAGGAAAGATAAGAGGAAACTGATTCAACACAAGTGGAGAGCAAGTATCCCTTTAAATTACAGCTCCACTTTTTGGCAACAACTGCAATTAACAGTCTTTCATTTACAGTGAAGATTTTGGGCTGGTGGGTCAGATCGCCAATTTGGCAAGGCAATTATTAAATAAGGAACTATGGGACATGCCAATCAGTAGCAACTGAATCAACAATTTTGATGACATCAATCCAAAAATGGAGCTGCTTTTAAAGTGTAACTAAAATATCTGCAGAAAAAAAATAAGAGTTATTAAAAAAGCAGAAAAGTTGTTCACAACCTTATTGTAATAGGTTGAAGTGGAGTGTAGTGGAAGAGTAAATGTACACGGTGCTAGCTGTGAAGAGCCTAAAACTACTGGCCGTTATTCATACAAAACCAACCTGCAAGTCAAGCTCGCGACACCTCTGGGCAATCTCTTCCTTGGTAGCCAAAGCATCATTCAGCTCCTCAACTGTCTTCTTCAGCTGAAAACAGATTAAGCATAAATCAAGAACTGCTGCTCCTCAAAATGTTTTATGTAGTACACTTAATAAAAAAGGAAAACAATTCTATGCAGACTTGTGAAAAATGAAGTACATCCTTACTATTTTCATATAAATTAAGAGGGTAAGTAGCAGTCAGGTGCTGCTAATCAGTGGATTCACTGATCAAAAAGAAAAAAAAATTATAATAATAATAATAATTTTAATTCAATCTAATCCAATAGCAAAGAAGGTTTATAGAAAGACAATATAAAAGCAGTAAAACTACACACAACAATAAAAACATTGTTGTTTTTATTGTTTTTATTAAATTTACATCCAAAAGATTCCAAGTACACAAAATCATAAGACATAATCCTCCAAAAAATCCCACCCCCCCAAAAAAACAAACAAAAATCCACAAGGTAAATAAGAGAGACATAAAACTAAAGAACGCTACTGCACAGGTAATAAAAAAAGTTTAGATCCTATGACATCTTACTCGTGTTCTTCTCCGTCTGCAGCCTGAAGGAAGTGGTTCAAATTCTCTGAAGGGGATGAATCTGGCTCAGCACAATAGCTCAGCCCTTTCACGCTACCTGCTGCTCATATACAGCAAGGAGTAGACTGTGGGAAAACTATTATTTTGCTGGCTACCTTCACAACTTTGTTCAAGCCTATGCTGTTCTTTGCTCTAACATGATTATGAGAAAAAGTTCATAGAAAAAGACTGAACAAGTATACAAGTATGGATAGTTTTGATGGGTTGTCAGGATTTTTTTCCCACTAAAACGAACATAGAAACAAGGCTTAGGTTTGCAAAGCTACATCTGAGCAAAGCACATGAGCTCTGGAAAAGAGCAGATCTTTGGACAGACGACAGACGAGACCAAACTGGAGATGTTTGGTGACAATGCAGAGGAAAAACCAAATACAGCCAATCAGCGCACCTCCTACCATCTGTCAGCCACAGGATATGGCCAGATGGTACGAAGCACCTTATAGTAATTGAGTGGATCATGAACCGATCTGTATACCAAAGTATTGAAGAGTCAAATGTGAGGCCATCTGTCTGACAGCATGGCCAAAATTGGGTCAACAGACCAAGCACAGCAGCAAATTTACAAGAGATTGCTGAAAAAGTAACGATCACGCTGTTGCAATGACGGAGTCAAAGTCTAGATCTCAACCTGAGTGAAATGCTGCATAGGAGCTTGTCATAGCAGCTGTGGCTACAACTGTAGCTTGCCTCCACCAGTGTGTGAATGTGAGAGTGAATGAATAGTGGCATTGTAAAGCGCTTTGGGTGCCTTGAAAAGCGCTATATAAATGCAATCCATTATTGTCAAAGCTTGAAATCTACATACCTGTCTGTCCAGATCCACATATGAGTCAGTTCCTCCTGTAGCTGGAGTCTCTTTAGTCATCAGCTACAGATACAAACAAAAATGATTAGAAGTGCAAACAACACTAGCGATGGATACCATTAGTTTTATTGGTATCAATATTACTATTTATCATCATTCCTGAATTGAATAGGTTTCAAATTTATAATTAACAATACCAGTGACCAGAGTGTGTTTTTTATCCATAAAAATGTGACCAGTTAGCTGTTGATCACTAAAAAGCAAGAATCAAAGATTCTTACTTTCATTTATTAGTTATTATATGCACATAATACTTTTTAAAGGTCTAAAATAGATAACAAGGTACCTCTTGGATGGCAGTCATGACAACATGCTGCACCGATTCTTCCATCACCATTATGGTTTTGATGTATTCTAGGGATTAGAGAGAAAACCAAAATTAAGAGTAAGTATGTATAAAGTAGCACATAACTTTCTGAATCAGTGGGTAAAGCAGGGAGACAACACAGAACATTGGCCTCTTAAATCCAATATTCACCTTGTTTCTGTTCACAGGTGACAGCGCAGCCCAATATAAGTTGTAACATCCTTCCAAGCTCAGCTGCATCAGAGTGTTCTCCAATAAGATTAACATCAGGTAGTGGGAAGTCATTAATATCCTGGCCTAAGACCTAGAGACAAGGATGAAATATGTAAGGGCTATACATTGTATTGGTTTGTATTTATTTATCAGGGTCAATGCACAAGAACATGAATCTCCTAAGAGAAGAGATGCATTCTACCAGATTTACATCAGTTACTAGCTCATTTCTATCCACAGTCACCGGGGAGATCAAGCAATAAACACAAATACACAAAATCGTGTAAGCAAGGAAAAATTATCCTTACACAAATTCAACTGGTAGTTCCTTCAATAAAACACAGACTGTAACACAGCACCAAATCCCATATAACAATTACTGTCACACATAAACACAAATAGATCAAGAGGATAAAAGAGAATCCCCCTTTTAACATCACATGAGAAAGAGTGGCAATAAACAGTAGTTCAATGAGCTTATTCCACTTCCTGCCAGCTTTAAACAAAAAGGCAGATTGGAACAAAGCAGAGTTCCTTCTAGGAACTTCACAGTCCCCTCGAGCTGTGAGCTCCAAGCTCTGGTTGTGTGTTCTGGGGGGTGGCGCACAATATTATGAACAATTTAAAAAAGTGAGTTGTACGTCTGCATTTTTTAAAGTATTTTACATATTATATACCGTACACACATATACAGTGTTTTGGGGTTTAGTCCATCTGGCAACCAGATGAGTGAAAGAAATAGTATTCACTGACCAGTTGCAAGTCATTGCTGGAAGTTGACTGTAGTTGCTGGGAAAACGATTGCTAGAGTCCCAGGCACATAGGCCTGTGTAACCTGTCGCAAGGGGAAAATGTGTATTCCTCAACCAGATGGCAATACCGCCTTGTGATTGTTTTGGTCGCTACTATATTGTTGTGTTTATAGTTTGATTGGAAGTGATGGACTTGTCGACAAACTCTTGCCAGCTACTCTCCGAGCTGTTAAACTGTCAAAAGTGAAACAAACCAGAAATGATGAAGGGCTTTATACAAAGTAAAAGTTGTGCCTCAGTGCTGCAGCCAACACGTTTCAAAGGGCACAACTTTTACTTACAAGTCGAATGGTCTCCATTTCCAGTAGGTATCACACTTTATGAACTTATCCTACTCCTCAGCTAGAACAACACGACAGATAACCTGAAAAGTAAACGCGATTAACTACAGACCACCATGGCAACGTCTTAGCAACCTAACAATCGGTAGTTGTATCACATCCAATAAAACAGTAAATTTTAAACAATAAAATCACATCAGAAACCTCAAGAACAACTGGATTATTAGGACTTGTGATGACTTAAGCTGACTGGAGTAGAGTAGACAATCACTTCTCCTCTACAAGAATGTCTGGATGTAAAGTACTGAAAGTTCATTTTAAAATCATTATAATAATTTAAATACTCTTACCTCCTGGATATAGTCTAGGATGCCTTTCAAGATTTTCTTTAGATTGCTGATCTGTAAAAGAGAAGAACGTATATTATTAGTAAAATTCAGGTTTAATCAGCAAATACTGATAAAAAAGAGACCATTTGACAAAGCCCATCTCATGCACACTTTGCTATTATTGAAATCAAGAGTAAGTCATGTTTACCTTTAACCTCCAGTTGTCTCCAACGTCTGGCTTGATTCTACTAATCCAAGCATCACTAAAATACACTACATCTCTAGAAATTTCAGACAAACAGACAAAAAACAAAACAAAACAATGCAAAGTGGGCTTTGGTAAAAAAAAAATTTAAAAAAAAGCATACCAAATGAAATGACTGGGTTTTTTTTTATTCATTTGTGGACTATGGATTTAATATAACTTTATAGAGATTAAACTGTATTTGTTTACCTAAACTTTACAATGATGTAATAAAATTCATCAAAAACTGATTAGAAACATTGCATTTTCTTTCTACGCAAACATTAACAGTAACTACTTACATTTTCTGTAGAACTTGTGCCATGACAACACCACTTGTCAGGTCTTCTACGGTCTTGCATGGAGCCTCTACTCCAAATGTCTGGATCTGAAATAAGTAAACAAAGCACTGGTTACAGAACTAAACTATACAATTATACAGGAGTAACCAGTGTGTTGAAAACAGCATAACATGTTTGAAACACTAGAAAAAAACCTATTATAAGATTAAACGCCCTATTTTAGGGAATCCCTTGCTCACAATCATACTGTCACAGCTGTATGCTGGCTAGTATCATCACACACTTATCTGCTGTCCACTGAGCAGATCCACCGTACGCATTGCAAATTTTATAATGGTGCCTTTTAATGACTCTCAATCATCCACAGTACTAACAAGAACTCACACTTACTGCTCTTGCGGACTTCACTTGTCATTCTGCTCAATTTCTATTATATCATTATTTCATTATGTCCCTTCTAACTATTTCACATGTCTTCTCTTCCTACCCTCCATATTTTTCTGTAGCATACCCCTCAGGCAGAAAGTCTGTTGCCCAGAAAGAAGTGATATCAGTCTGCATGCCAACTTTACAAGAGCCAAAGGAAGAAGATACACTAAGAAAAGGGATGAAAAACCTAGTTAAAATCCTGTTTGTACATAATTCTGTCTCTCTCACTTTCTATTATATAGTATATTATATACATAATGCAAGGCCTCTATTAAAAGTAAAAGCCAACCAGCCGTCCACATATTTTGCACATCAACAACGACACAGGTTAGTGAGGTTTGTTTCTTGTGGCAATCTATTTTTCTGTGAGTGACATAACAAACGAATGAATGACACAGAGGTACCAAAAAGACACCAGCAACTTTGTCCCGGTTCTACCTGCTTGTCCCTGTGAGTGTCATCATTTTAATTCATGTCTAGTATGTTTTCCCACCCTGCTTTGTTATGCCGGGGTTGAAACTGAAAAAGCTGAACTGAATACATGTTTATCTCGCTGCAAGTCTGAGAGACTGACTGGACCAAGACTTTTACAAGTGTTTGCTGTCACTACCGAGTTTTAACATTTATTTAAAACTGAGTGTTTTATCTTTTTTTTTTTTTAAACAAGATTAAAAATGAAAAATGAATTCACTGTTCTACACACCCACACACATACTTATTGATAAGTGGAAGAAAATGGATGGATGGATGAATTTACTGTACTAAACTAATTTGATTTCTAACTATTTTAACAGTTTCACACTAATTTATATTTTAAGTTAACAATTTAAGTCTGGGACCATGGGAAGTGTGTTATTATGTCACAGAAAAGCAACTAACAGCACTATTTCATCATTAGGAAAGAATAAGATTAGTAAACAAGAAGACGCTTGACACTGTGCACCTTAGAAGGACACAGCTCATGTGGTATGAAGGGAGCATGACATTGCAGTAACATCCATCTACAAGGAAAGCTTTTAGACTAGAGTTGTATTTAGGCTGGACATGAAAGGTAACGCTACAGTTTAGATGCAAATTTTGAGTCTTTTCCGCTTGTCTTTTTTTTTGCACTGTAATTACATTGGGGGGCCAATTAGCTGCAAAACTTTATCTATTACGGCTTTCAAAATAAGCGATTTGTCAAATAGTCCTAGGCAGCAGGAACAGAAAGCCAGACACTGGCCAGGAGCCAACACAAAAGAGAACCTAAACAATAGTCGTGATTATGTAACACCAATTACTGGGGAAAAGGCAGAGAAACTTCACCTGATTACCCACACCCACAGTTTTCACTCCATCTACCAGCTCACTTAAACTCTTTTGCCAGCTTTAAAGTACAGGATACAGTTACTTACTAACTTCCTATATTGATGGAACTGGGATAGACGATAATAGCAAGACTTGCCTCTTAAAACATTTGCTAAAGTAGCAATAAAATCATAAATCTGTAGCTTTTAAATGTGTTAGCTTTTTTAGACAGTATTAAAATATGTTACTAAAATACGAGCACGACAACAACACAAATCCCTTTTCTTTTGAACAGCCACTGAGTTAAGAGGAACTGAGACAAGACAAACATCTAAGTAGAAACGGCTGCATGGATCCCTATTGTTATGAACTTAGTACTGCACAACAGCAATATTTGGTCTGCATCGTTTCCTTTTGCAGGAAAGGCAGACAAGGAAAGAAAATAAAGGATGAGCCAGCCCTGCAAAAACCACACTGACCACTAACAAACGTGACACTATGCCGGGCAGTCCTTAGCTGACAACACGCTGTGAGAGTTGTACAAAAGAAATGAATTCACGGCCCCTGACACGCAATGTGCTTTTGTGCTTGATTTAACGTATTACCTCAAGTCATCTTAAATCAATCAGTTACTTTTCCACTTTGCTGACTGATAAAAATTTCCTTTCATTTGTGTGTGGCTGTAGCTTGAAAAAGATCCTACACTATTCTTTCTAAACAACAGTGGCTTTCATGGTAATGTGAGCTTGACAGCTTTAGCTGCATGTCCCACTGTCCAAACCGGCGCAATACATAGAGTAACACTATATAACAAAGCATCGGAAAGGAATGTATGCTCATGTGATTTCTAATAAAAGCCAAAGCTGACCAGTGCAGGTGGGTTGCTTTATGTGCAGGTGTAGGACATTGTGCAGTCACGTTTTCCATGAATGAAGCCAAGTATCACTCTGTTCAGTACACTTATCCTCATAAAAACGCCTTTAGAGATTAGTTAATTATGTCACATTTGGTGTCTTGAATGTTGATCAGGCACAAATCTAAAAACAATTAACCCAGTAATTACATCAGTCACAAATAGCCAATCAGCCTTCAATCAAACCTAATGTTTATCGCCAATATGCTGGATTACATCACTGAATATAAAAAATATGATTTAATTTTATATCCATCCCCTTTATAGTCTCTACGTTTATGTGAATCAACAGCTAAATACATGCAATCGGTAGTTACAGAGGGCTAAATCTAGTTAGTATTTCCTATGCTTTGGTAAATACTGTCTTGGAAAGAAAACTTCGGTGATAGACCTTTGTGTTGCCTCGACTAAAGGGCAACAGAATATGAGCCCCAGTGTAAAATATTATATATAATATTTTATAATATAAGCCTAATTCAAACTTTATTGATTTCAGATGGGATGTCAACTTTTGAGATAGTGCTAGGCTACTAAATGTCCTCTGAATGACATCATCAGCTCATGTTCCAATCAGCTTATTTTAATTAAACTAATCGTGGAACCCTGAAGCACTCGTCCAAGAGCAAAACTGGGCTAATAAATGTCCTCTTAATTATCAGGATCACCTTCCATTCAGCTTGTTACGATTATACTAATCAAGAAGCCTTGAAGCACTTACCAGAGAGCAAAATAAGGCCAACAACCACTTCAGCAACTACTGGAATAGTATCGTCTGCACACCCTGGATTTTTATGAAAAACTGCTTCGACAGCTACCCCTTTGTCCTGCTCAAGGCAACTTCTCTTAAACAAGTGGGAAGCGGTCCAAAGATACCTTCTAGATATCCACTATAGTCCCTAACCGATGTTTAAAACCGAACTCTGGTTTGTTTTTCCCCTTGGTGTGGTTCACTTTTATAGATTGTGAACACAATAATCGCACGCAGGTGTGGACAAAAACAACCAATTCGAGACCCTTTGAAGATGTTGGTCTCAGTGCGGCTCCAAATGAACTACAGAGCAGTTTGTTTATAGATGTGCAAAGGTCTGTATGGGCTAGCAATTAGCTGTGAAAAAAAAAGCCCAAAATCTTCCATGTTCTCCAAATGTCCAGAACACAGCACCTTCTTGCTGTAGTTTACTGTTATTGCTCCTTCCGCAAATCCATCTGGCCAATAAGCGGAGTGAAAATTCTCATGTGATTTGTAGTGAGGAATTTTGCTTCGCTTGGAGCTCACTTGGATTTTTCTCTGCGTTAAAAGAAACCAGGCAAAAGCGACATGTTTACTAGCACCCCATATGGAAAAGAAATAGTAAAAACTTATATGATTTACTCATGAAAGTGGCCACTTTCTCATTACTTTCATATATTGTTTTAGTAAGTATCCAAAACATACAAGTTTCATTTATATAATTTTTCAAGGGATCTTATATCTGTTTTCACTCTTGTATGCTTTTCATACAAGTTTCACACAAGACAGATACAAACTTTATAAGATTTATATATATCTTTTCCATATTAGAGTTAACTGTATCATAGTCATAATTATAGCTTTGATAGCAAGGTGCAAGTTGCTTTTGTTATTATGTACGTTTCAGACGGACCAGATATGCAGCAGTGGTAGGGGAAAAGTTAGGCAAAAATTCAATTTGACCAAAAAATGACTTCAGCACTTCATGTATGAAGCTAACGTATAATATATATACTACATGTATATATATTATCTATTAGAGATGGCACGATACCACTTTTTTATGTCCGATACCGATACCGATATCATAAATTTGGATATCTGCCGATACCGATATGAATCCGATATAGTGTTTTTTAATCAACAAAACTGTTTTTTAAATATCTTGCTGCATTTTGTTAAGTTCATACTCAAGTTTAAAACAACAACTACACTAAAGCTATTCTGTTATACCTGTATGCAAAAAAAAATATTTCATAGTTCAGCAATACTGATCAATCTAATAAACTTAAACCTACACCATCCTCCCTATTCTGGTATTTTAAAGAGTACTTAGCTAAATATTAAGCAACCTAACTAATAGGGTTCCAACTCCCAGCAACAACAAAAATAAAAAATAAAAAATAGGGAACCACCCCTCACGCTCCACCTCATGATGCTTAATCGACGTAATCAACCTTAATTTGATGCAGTGTGAAAAAAAATGCACAGAAATCAATTATTTTTCAAGAAATATTAAATAGATTCAACATCTTTCTTCAACAAAATTGCAGACTGCACAGATGGTACCTTCCCAAAGGAAAAAGTACTATAGCTTACTAGGGTATATTAGACTTAATAGTTACTATATACAGTAATTGACTTCTATCATTTTACATCAAATTAAAACTTTGGGTGTATCAGATAATTATTTATTAAAAGCTAGACATTTTAAATGAGAATAAGAAAGAAAAGTATGTCTTTGTGCCCCCTTTTCCCTGTTCAATGCCCTATCGGCCCCCCTGGCTAAACTTTGCTAGATCCGCCCCTGCACAGTTACCAGCGTCAGCTACGTAGAAAAAGATCCTGGTGTAGAAAGTAATATTAAATAAATTCTAACAACAGCTTATCAAGCTTAAACGTGCTGCTGTTGTTCAGCCGCTGGTTTCCTCTTTCTGGTGCAAAGTGGGCCAAAAGCAAACTAGAGACACGGACTCGCGACAGAAAAGCCGATCAGCTGATCATTAAGCAGTTTCATGATTGAAGTAGCAGCAAGAAGAGGCAGTCGCTCCATATATCGCTTGTTAAGCTTAACGCAGGAATGCTTTACAAACATTCAGAGATGGACTTACACACTTGCTTTACTTCTCTCGGGGATAACTTTGTCGGAGATGAAATGCCGGGTTGCTAGCGAAGCTCCAAATGCTATCCAGACCACCGACAGGTCCCGCATGCCACAGCCGCTCTATCACGTGATGCATACTGCTCCGACGTGCTAACGTTCTGAGGTGAGTTACGGCGTGTTGCAAGTTTTGTGAGGTGCTTTCGTGATATTTAATGGATCGGATTACATTTTTTATTTTTCTCCGATATCCGATCCAGTAATTTAGGTCAGTATCGGACCGATACCGATACGTAATATCGGATCGGTCCATCTCTAGTATATATATGTGTGTGTTAATGACCCATGGAAATGGGTCATTAACTGATACAAACTATAGTTATGAAAAACGTATCGTGTAAACTGAGGTATTTGGAGGCTCTAATTTTGCTCAGGTTCAGCTCACGAGTCAGCAATGTATTAAAAGGGTTGACCAGGAACTTCGCATTAGACTACCTGGTTTACCACAAACATTTTTGGCCATCAAAGATAATTCTTGCATTAATAAGAACACATTGACTGACAGTATAGACCATAAAGGGCCACTGAACCAAAACAATGCTTTATCAAGATGTGTTTCATAAGCCACTGCAACACGTAAACTTGGTTTCATATGTACTTTTGGAAATGAGCGTGTAGTGAAAAGTAAAAACTCAGCTAGTCAACCAAAAACAATAAACAATCATGTAATTATAAATGTCAGCTGTAGTACATAAGTTGGTGGTAACACATGGGGTGGACTGAGACCCAACAGGAAATCCACACCTAAAAGTTTGCAGTAACAGCTGGGTCAGGACATGCTCAGCTGTGGAGAACGTGTGCACGACTAAATAAAGTTTACAATGTAAGCGATCACGTATTAAGAGGCCGGATTAGCCTTTTTCAAATCTGCAGCGCATCGAAACCCAAAATCACAACATTGATAAATACACCAGACTAACCATCTCCTGTGTGTTTTCTCAGATTTAATGGTAAATGGCTGATTCTCATATAGGGCTTTCTACTCAAGCATTCTGGCCTTATTAGGCCTTAGGGATTTTCCCCACGGGGACCAATAAAGTACACTTTCTTTCTTTCTTTCTTTCTTTCTTTCTTTCTTCTTATACAACATGTCTCATTCACACAATAACTTCTCTCTATGTGTGAATGTGCAGCATCTAAGTGCTGCACATTCACACTCTGATACATGCATTAAGAATAACTCTGGGTTCAGTATCGTTCCCAAAGACACTCTGCCACGCAGACTGGAGCAAAAAGGATCAAACCACCGACCTTCCAGTTAGTAGATGACCTGCTCTACCTGCTGTGATACCAAACCTTCCCAAGGGCAAATTAATGAAAAACAACAAAAACATTAAATCCTGTGGCTTTTATTCATTAATTCTTTTTAAACATCCAGTAATTTCATATAATGACAGTAAAAGTACATGATGTGTATTTTCCAGTCATGTGCAACCCTATATATTTAAAGTATGAGTTGAGAAATATCTATACTATATATTAGTATAATATATATACTAAATATCTAGTTAATTTTTCATTAACAGTCTGGATAATTACCAAAGCTACACACACTCACATGTAGCATGCAGTGGGAGATAATCACGTGTTCTCAGTCCGGGAAATATTCCACTTGTTTTAGCTGTGGGCGCTTGCAAGGCGGACCATTCAGCAGGCAGAATACATGAAGCTGAATGGCTCACCGTGAATTTAAAGGATAATTGCCTGCATTGCTCTTCATGCAAACACATTTGGATATTATAGACTTTGAACTAGAAAGCTGGGAAGGTAAATAGTGTTTCTCCAAACAAATCTAGTATTTACAAAGTCATTAAATAGTACTTGCAAATTTAATTCAAAGAACATGCATGAAAATCAGCTATGCTTGATCTTAATGCTGCACTAATCTAAACCAGTAACACTTGTCTCGTTTTAGTCCTGATTAGTCACTGATGTATCTTCACTGTTAATAGGCATGTAAGGTATGTGAGGCATGTTTGCCAGATCCATTATCACTGTGACAAAGGTTTACTGGGCCTTTTCACAAAGGGAATCAATTATTTTATGCTATGTGTGTAAAACTAATCTGTGGGGTCATCTACTGCTCTTCTTGACACAAATTTCAGTGAAGTTTCTGGAATCACTGGATGTTTTATGGCTTCAAGTATCACACAACAACATCCAGGTGACCCAAGTGAACCTGCAGAAACCAGCTTGTGTGCAGATATGCTGACATTAGAGAAGCAGGGTAGCGTGCATGAACTCGGCTCCAATATAACCAACACCAGATGGATGTTTCCATTATACAATTCTGACATTTCTACCACTAGAGTATTGTGACAACATGTAATTTTTCCATGCAGTTTTCATAACGTTCCATCCAGTCACATGCCTGAGCAGCACTTTATTAACCTTAAGGTCACTGGTTTAACCATCAGCAATCGTCACGGCATACTATGGTAAATGAGGATGTGACAGCTTTCCAAGTACAACGTGTTATGCCTTTTCTAGAAACCCAGTGTTGGGAGACCTCATTGATCAATGTAAACATATACCAGTCTGCAGCACGTGACTCTACAGTCCGACGCCTTTAGCTTAAATCCCAGTTTTCAGCCTCTGCGCATCAACAATATGGGGTAATGTCTGGTTAAAAATCCAAGCCCAAGAAGTTATTTAGCATTAACATTTTATTCAGAAGAAGGAATGAGGAAGAAAGGCGAACATAATAATATGCTACACTGAACAACGATGACAGGAATTTAACCCCAAAGCAGACGCCGAGCGTTTATCCTCATACCATAAGAAAAGACGAAAAAGGCTTGACCAAAAGAAGCTTTAAATCATAACAAGGCCAATGCGGTTTGACACAGCATTCGGTAGGGATTTAGTAAACGAAAGCTCAAATAACATTAGATAAAAGCCCGATTACACAGCGCATGAATCAAAAATCAATAGTTAAGCCATGGTATGTGGTGTGCTGGCGGCTAGCAACCAACACATCAGCAGCTAAACACAGCAAACAGCTGGCCTGCATACGTAACCACTGTGAGGCGAGTCATTTTCTTCTAGCCAGCTAACGTTACTCCCGTTAGCTCGTCGAGCTACCATTAGCCTAGCTAGCGTCGCCGGGGCGCCGGAGAACCGTCTGTCAGCGGAAAAACAACTATAACTCGATTACTTACCCATGTTAAGAGGCTTTCACACACTTCCATACGATCCAAAGACTCTGATGTACTCATCGTGATCTAACGTAGACCGACTTTACGTGGCGAAGAGAGCCTGAACTTGATAGTCAGCTTCATACACTCCCGAGATCTCTGGCTCTCTGGGTGTCTCACAATCCGTCCGCCAATGGTCGGGTTCGCTGGTTCGCTAGTCCGGCGTCTACCAGAGGCGGGCTGTGTGGGCGGAGTCTATAGTTCGTTTTAAAGGGCAGTTCTCACTTTGAATGTACTGTCAGGTATTAATTACAGGAAAAGCTAGTCCACAACCAATTATTATTTCAAAAGAATCCTAACCTGCTCTGCCTTTCATGTGTGCCAGTTTAGCTGATTTAGCCTTTGCTTGAAAACTAGCACAAAACAAGCACCAAATGAAACATTCATCTATTTATGGTTCTAAAATATGTAGACACAATCACAGGCAAAAAAACAAAACAATCCAAGGAAATTACTTTTTTTTCTGGCAAACAAAACGGAAGCAGCGCATAAGCTTGGGAAGACATACAGCTGACTCAGTGCTGCGTAAAAGCATACGTCTAAATGCTTATAGAGAGCACCAGAGGGTACTTCTCACAGTGAGGCACCCAGTGAGGTTTAAAAGAAAACTAAGCCAAAATACAGAAACAGTTTGTTAATAACTAAGTCCAACATATGATTCAATAACTTGTTCAACTGATGATATTGTTGTTGAGCTGTAGCTCTTAAGGTTTGTTGTAATTTCTTTGAGCATTGCATAGTCTGACCTAGGGGTGGATTTTTGGGGACATCCACTCCTGCGAAAATTGGCAACTGTCTTGAATATTTTTTCACATGTGGATCATTTTTCTTGCTTTCAAATTATCCACACAGAATCAATCCACACAAAAATGTTGTTGTACATGCACAAAGACAATAAAGGGCTATTCTGTTCTATTGTATTCTTTAAAAAAAAAGTTGGAGCAGGTCTAACCACACACAAAAAATTCCCATCAAAAGCAACAAATGATTCATAAAAGAAAACCACTTGATTTCTTCATGCAATTGTCATAATTCCATTTAATTTAGATGGAATCCCACTAACCCTGAGAAAATGAGTGCACGTGCTATCTTTGAAATTATGTTAATAGATTGTATGAGAGAAGCAGCATTTTTACACATTCCTGACATGCATTTTGGCATGTACACGAAGTCTGTGCACAAAGTGCCCCTTGCATGATGCTTCGAAAATAAAGATTACATCAGGGTGGGACTTCCAAAAAACCTCTCAAATGTAGTTCACCTGGAGCATTACAACATATGCTGCTGTCTCTGGCTTTAGTTTAAACTGAAAGGGACACTAGTGGAGCAGTACTCAAGTATGACACATACTGGTATGTGGGCACACCCTAAAACAAGACATTCCATGAGGTAGCTGCTGGTCTCCTTTTTTGGTAATCTAAATCTCTGAAATACAGTGAAATTTACAGTTAACCTGCTCCTTTTACTTTGCCTACCATGACAAGCTTATCAAACATTGGCTTGAATCCCCAGAAACCAAATAGCCTGGACTCATTGCTCAAAAAGTAACCATGGTTGCACAGTAACTTTGAGGGAAAAGGGCAGATAATGAAGTCTCTCTCTCTGGCTCCACTAGACAACACTACCTATTTAAGTAATCACAACTAAAAAAAAAAGAAAAATAATAAAAGAATTTGAGGTGGAGATATTTACTGTGCACCAGTCAGAAGTTCAAGCTGGATTTACACTTGAACAGTTTGGTAATCCCCCATTTATTTATATCCTCAGTAAAACACATTTTGTATAGAACATTAATTTAATTTGAACATAAATAAGACTTTAATACATTTCAAAATCTGACAGATTGAGAGACTCTGACGTTCTGAAAAGCTCTGTAGTGCGTGAAGCTGAACTGACACTGACAAACTGATTACGATCCTGAAATGTGAAGAAAAAAAAAATCCTTAAAATAATCTTTGAACATTGAAACATGACATTAACATTCATTACTTGAGTGAGCTGATGATTAAAAATGAACTTTAATCAGTTCTTTCTTTTCTTGAAAAACAAAGTCATCTCTAACTGAGAAATCATCATCAGACTGGTTGGTGTTGTTCACTATATTTTCACGTGGGTAAGCCCAGGAAAGTTCGAAGCATGTTAGAATGGATGAATAAATCTAGACGTTTCCAGGTGAAACACTTTAGTGATTTTGACACAAACATTGGTTTCAAGTCATGGTTATGCAGGTTACAGATCACTGAAATATGGGCGTAACTATAAGTGAATAAAGCAGGTTCTAATAACCCCATTAACAGGGTTCCTGTAACACACCTTTGCTTGTCAACTGACAACCCAAATGTAGACTGTTGACTTTAAATCCATTTAATAAAGACATTACAGTTTTACACGATTGTCTCCATAATGATGACATACACATTAACCAAATGCCCGTTCATGGCACTGTTGACTATTTAGTTAAGGTTGGAAACTGATAGGCAAGAAAGACTTTCCTGACTGACCTCAGTGCCTGACTCCAAGTAGATTTTTACATTGCATCCTTATATTCTGCTTCTGTTGGTACTGACTCATATGACCTTAGAATCTTGAATGGTAAATTCTATATACAGAGTCAATATTGAGAGTACTTTTTTTGGCTAACCCATCTCCTGTGATAAAATAACATCCAAGGCTTCAGAGAGAGAGAGTGAGAGAGAGAGAGCAAAATCTGTATTATCGACTAACTGCTCTTTGAACATTTATTCCCTTTTTTTGCACGTCCTCAGATGTTGACTTCACTCTTCCCGAGGCTTTTGAGAAGGCCTAGCCGTTCAGTCTCTGAGTAACCACCTCTCTGTACATGATAGAGATGTACACAAAGAGAAGTAGGATTACAAAGAAATCGTCCATGAATCCCAGAAGACCAAAGAGCGCTTCGGGAAGGATGTCGAGCGGAGAGGCCAGGTAGGTGATTGCCCCAATGAGGCAGAGAAGAATTCGAATCCTGAACATCCAGAAGAGGCCACCCACAGTAAACATCTCTCTAAAGGCGTGACGAAGCAGAGTGGGCACATCCCGCAGCCTGTCCATAAACTGAGGTAAACCACAGAAACAAAGTTGTCAATAATAACTCACGTTTATCTCATTTAAGGTAGTATCATATCGGCCATTTCATGGATGGCTGCGAATTTTAAATCCCTCTCTTTCGCATGTCTCCCATGATAGACTTGCAGAGAGAGCAAACATCCACTTCTTTAACAACTTTCCTAACTTTTGTATCAGGAATATAACTGTTGTTGGGTTTCAGACTATGACTCACAGAGACAAAGAAGGAGTTATACAATGGAGAAGTCTGCAGCTCCCAAGACCAAAGGAGACAGATCAGGTCACAATCAGATGAGCACCCCCCCTTAATATATAACCATATTCTGGGTTGTACAGAATGAATATTCAAACTTAAAGCCCCAATCTAAATAAATATCACTGTGAAATACTCACAGATCTCGGCTGGCCGGAAAACCTGCGGTTGTAATCATTGATATCTCTTAATATTAGCTGAGGTTCAGCTTCCCCATCCTGTACCCTCTGAGGACCAGCGTGCTCATGAAATAGTGGAAAGAGCAATGTTACCTGGAATTAAAAGAAAAAAAAATATAAAGATATTTTTAAGAAGGATACCAATACTGATATTGATGATAATCACATACATCGGTTGACATATATACATTTTTTTTGGGGGGGAGGGGGCTTTGTTGCCAGTACAACAGCAAAACTGCTTAGAGAGATTGGGATCAGAGGACAGGCACAACGGCAGGCTATAAGAGAATTAGCTAACACTGCTGAGAGGACCAGTCACAGGCTATGGCTAAAAAGGGCTGACATCACTTGGCAGCTAAGGCAGTCAGCTAACCACGATACACATGCCAAGGATTGATCGCGGTGGGCCTGCCTCAACAGGGGGCGTCGAAAGAGTAAAACATAACATTAAAAGTTTTGCTGGTTGACTGCTACAGCTGTCTCAGGGTCTCCTGGGGACTGTGCAGTTAACTTCATGGTAGTACTAACTAAAAAGAAGAATGAAAAACGTTCCACTCTTCTCCCCTCTGCTCTTCTTCCCTTTTCTGGTAGGCAGTGGGGAGGTAGAGTGCACAGCCAGATCCGGCGGGGAGGTGTGGGAAGCCAGATCGGGCGCCTCCTTCCAGCTCTCCTCTCTGCTCTCTCCCATCTTATCTCATCTTACTTGTCTTACTCCTCTCTGTCACCTTTTCTGTCCCTTTGAAGAAATGAGGCTCCATAAATGCTAAAGAGGTAAGTATTTCTCAGTTGTAGTGAATAGATAGAAAATAAACTGTAGAAAATTAAATAGGAGAAAGAAGGAGAAAAAAAACAATTTTAACATAAATCATTGACACACTCCGGGGCCTGATCAACCCTGGCAGGGCCTCCTTGGATGAGGAGTCTAGTGATAATGGCCGAAACACCCGACGAATCCAAGGTCCACTACGGACGATGTGTCGCAAATTTAACAATTTAGATCAGATCTCTAATCCCTAAACCTAAGCAGGGAAAATGGCAGGCTAGCTTGAATAAAAGAACAAAAGTTGAGGCACACGACGATGTGTGCTGCTGGTAAAGTTTCTGTGCTGCTTTCTTCATAATAGCCATCCTTCAAGATTTTCTCCATTAAAAGCAATGCATTGTCCGGGATTGTAACATCTAGTCCTTTACTGAAACATTAGAGGCATAGATAATAGTTTTCGCCAAAATTTGCCATGTGTTTTTTTTTCTTCCTTTTTTCTTTTTATGTACTCATTTATAGTTATATCGGCCAGTTGATATTATAAATCAACTGGGTGGTAATATATATATATGTAGAGCAGTGACAGGTCACTCAGCACCGCTCTGACTGACACATCACTCATTCCATTTAACACTCATTTCCAACAACTGTGGCAGTAGCTAAACGCCTAAAAAGAATTAAGGTATTTTTGTGCATTCAAAGATATGAATACAGAACAGCTGGCAACTTATGAATATCCCTAGTGTGCATTTTAACAAGTACTGAAAGACTCACCATTTGTCTGCAGATGGGGCAGTTAATAGCTCCCAGCCAGGTGCCGTACCTCCAGTAGGCTATGATGCAGGAGCCTGTGTAAGAATACAGGATATGGCACATGAGTAAAACTA